AGCCCCTTCGCCTATCAGAGCTCTTTTCACTAGGTCAAATGAAATTCATGGGTACCACACAAGGCATGCCGCAAAAGGAAATTATCTTCGGAAAGAAGTTAAGTCGCAAATCTTCAAATGCTCTTTTTCGAGAACTGAAGCGATATTATCGAATCAAATTTCTCCAGACTGGAGAGATTTATCTAAACCAATCTTTAAGGTTGGCGCTGTCGCTATTGTCAAGCTTTTTAAACTTAATGTGTATATATTTCTGTAAAACTGTAAATATGCGAGTCATAATAATAATAATAATAATAAAAAGTTGTTGTTAGGTTGTTAAAGGTTATTCCTGCAGGATTTAAACAACCGTAAAAAGCAAGGAATAAAAGAAATAAAAAATATCGCTAAGTATGTTCCTAAAATAGGAACTTCTCAAAACAAATAGTACAATTCCATACAATTGGGCGATTGTAAAAAGGCATCCTAACAAATAAAAAGGAAGATATCCCAACAAAAGAGGGCAAATATCCATAAATAGCAAGGTGACTGATTACATAAATATGAGTGAGACCCTAGATGAGAAATAAGAGGCAGACAAGGGAAAGAAGTGTGTGGGTGGCAACCTGATGACATTGGTGTGGGATACCACCGGTATCCCACACAAAAAATAGATACAAGCCATCACCATTATAGCGAAACAGGTCGTTTTGCGATAGGTTGCCACTTGAGCGAGGTTTCTCGTATAGTTAATTGACCTGGAATTTTTGGTCTTGTTTTAAGCGTTCCCGAGCTTACAAGAGATGTTCGCTTACAAGGGGCGTTGCAAAGAGGAGTACTAGTTCCGCTGTATTCTCAGGTGACTACAACCTACCACTTTTTGTAATAAAAGTTTCTTCGCCCATGCTATTTGTTCCCTATTACCAGTGACTGTAAACCCGTCCTCGTTCCTTGGCTTTGCCACAACTCCCACTCCAGATTCCTGCTGAATTTTTTTTAATACACTTCTACCCTTGCCGATGACGTAGCCTTTCAGATTTTTTGGCAAGCATACAAACTCTTCCTTAACTTCACTTTCTTTTGACCCTTCATCAGTTGTTGTAACTGCACCTGTTAAGCGGTAAAGAAGGAAATACTAATGAGAATCACTTTAACGGTTGAGCCTGTTGCTCTTAGCCATACATCAGAGTCATGCGGGGGCATCGAGTTACGACTACAGTGACGTTGTGAAAATCATTTCAAGACTTCATTCTAAGATCGGAAATTCTTTCTGGCAGTCTTCCTGAAGGTGTAATATATCCATAGTCCAGGGCTTTGATATCAAGTCTCCGACAAAGAATAGCTAGGCTCAGTTTGCTGTCATGTAAGATCAGACAAAACACATGCAAACTCAGCTTGCATACTGCTGATCGCTTACCGGGGTAATTTCCCCTCGTTTGGGTCACGTTCAAAGAGCTATTTTAGGATTTTATCATCGCTTTCGACTTCTGCCTCTATTTGATCAACAATTATGTATGTGGGATAAGTTGCATCAATGAACTGTGTACCAAACACTCTTGACGTACGATCACGAAGTCATCATCAGTGTTTTTGGAAGGTTTAATAGAGTTTTATCCTTGTGAAAAAATATGAGTTATATCACTTCATTAACGGCTATTTTAGTATTTGACGGAAAATTAAGAAGGAAAAAAACAACAAGAAACAATTTTTAAAATCATTAGGTGAATATTGATATGACCAGTGTCACGTGCACGACAATAGCAATGTAAACCATGTCATAAGA